AAGGTAAAGGAGGAGCATGTCAGAGTGGGTGCAACAAATGTAGGGAATGACAGGCAAAGGTAAAAGGAAGACAGGGATACAGTAGCAATCAAAATGTAGAGGGAAGGAAATTGTTAGGGGAACTGGTTGGGGTTGAGAGTGAGTGAAAGGAAACTACGAGGGACATAGTAGGAATGGGAGACAGGTGTTTATATAATAGTAGGGTATGGATACCCAGAAGTACACCTGATACTCCCCCACCCCATTCTGCCATGTTTTTTATCTTGTTATAATTGACTAACCCCAGGTTTATAGATGCACTTATGTAAGAAGGACAGAAGCTTATGCTGTCCAGCAGAATTCAAGGCCTGATTTTAAAGTCACTTAGATTGTAAGCTCTGCAGACTTGGGACTGTCTCTTTGCTACAGATTTGTAGTGTCTAGCATAGTGTTTCTTAAACTGGGGTACATGGATGCCTGAGGGTAGGAAGCAAATTTCTAGAGGATACATGGGACTAGATGCAGAAGAGAAAGATGAAATATAGATTGAGGAAAAAGAAGAAAGTAAAAATGGAGAACAACTTCGTAGTATCACGTACTCTGTTGGAGAGGTGACGAGAGCTTATTCTTCAGAACACAGAGTAGGAGTCAAGAGCATTAAAGCTGATTTAAATAGGGATATGCAGCCCAAACAAGTTTGAGAACCACTGGTTTAGCACATTGAGTAGCTGGCTTCTCAGTGCTACCACAGCAGTAGTAACATAACAGTAATAATATAAACAAAAAAAAATAAGACCCCTGAGGATATTCCATGTTGGGGTCTTCCTCATACATGCTGATGAAAATCCTAGTATCCCCAGTCCATCAAATCACTCAAAGATAAACTCTCAAATCATTTTCCTTGAGATGAGCAAACCAAAGCCATATGGAGCCAGTTCTGGTATCAGTTCACAAACAGAATTAGCATTTTGGCACATGGTGTCATCCTCTCTGTCTGGTACCCATGGAAGCAGATGCTCCTTTAGCTGACCACAAGCTGGTAGATGTGATATGTACACTCGACAAAATTATAGAAAGCAAGCAGTTTAAAGTGTTTTGCAGACTCCCATACTCTATCAACTCGTGCTGTTTGGCAGCTGGTCTGGCAAATTTTCAAAATAACATAACATAGTCAGTGCATGTTGTGGAGCTTAGAAAGATCCAGGCCAACCATTCTGGATAATATCTCCAGAGGGGGAACAGTACCAAGTGTGTTGTCACAGGCTCAGACACCACACTCCACATTATTTTCTCTTTTTGCAACTAACATGATCAATTTTGACAATTCCAAAGTTGGTGAGATCACAAGCACAGAGCTTTGGAAGTTTCTGGTCAGATCAGATCTGTGGATCCTATGTCCTGTGACTGGCCAGCACCAGATTCTTCAGAGGTAAAACCAAGAAGGAAGTTACAAAGTAACTTCTCCATCAGGGTAGCTTCTGCTTAGTGCCTTCCAATTTACTGGCTGTGCCAGGACATAGAGCAGGCAACCCTGGGATGTGTTTGCTGGAGCCTATTTGGTGTTATGATGGACTGGTAGGAAAAAGGAGGGCTGAGAGAGAGAGAGCGTTGTTGCATGTATCAGTCTGCCTTTGATCAATTATGGACACTACAGACAAGTCAGCTCCTAAGCAGTGGGTAACCCTATTCTGAGTGTACTGTACCTTCTACTAACAAATATCTGAGTTGTTTCTATGCTTTGGCAGCACTTGTGTAGCTTGTCATGATAATTCAAATGTATAGGACATGCCCACTTTCAAATTAATACTTCAGGTTACATAGGAAAAATAGGAGCCATTCTCTTGGACCATGGGAAGAAATACAAGCATGAGTGAACCAAGGCAGAGAAGCAAGCAATGTACATGTCTTAAGGCATGGTGACATAAGACATTGTCTGTAAATGTCTTGAGGCTGCTGGATACAATGAGCAGGTTAATTTTGTATACAGAATTGACATGTCTCTGGGATGGTTTGGGAATGGCACATCTTGTTATCTATGCAGCAGAGTTGATGTCCCAGAAGTCCCTTCCTACCCTGTGATTTTAAAATCAAGTAGGATACATACTAACTCGCAGAAGAGTTTGAGGTGCTTAGAAGAGAACATGGGGAAGCCTGTTGGAGAACTGAAATACTTTTTTTCAGGGAGCAGGTACAGAACACTGTGTAAAAATCTGGATCCATTTGGAGTGCTGAACATCTGTCCCAACTTGAGTCTAAAGATTTGGATACCTCTGTTTGCATAGTCTGCTAGAGGCTGCATCACTAACTTACTAAATGGAGTCAGAGAGCAGACAAGAGACTGTGCATCCTAAAAATATTCGTATTCATAATCATCATTTTTTAATTTGCTGCATCTAGTCCCAGGGTATTCATTGTGTTAGCTTTTACTAAGGGCACAATTAAATATGTTAGACACATTTATTTAAAACTATCTTTCTTTTTCCCCGCTTAGAATACCGAGAGCATACCAGCCTGTTTTAATCAGAGCATTGGACTTGCTGGATGCATCTGAATTCCATGCAGACTATCCCAGACAGGTTGAGGGAAGGTAGCAAAGAAAAGATGTCTTCAGCTGATTGGGACTGTCAGAGATACAGACTTCCTCTCCCATGAAATGTGTCCCATGAAATATTTGTCTAAGCCTCCCACCAGAAAGCCACAGAGTTTGTGGGCATTAAAGAGAGAGGGTTATGTCTTTTGTCTCTAAGATGTCATTTTATATCCAAGCCAGATTGGAGGTGGAGGAGTACAGAAAGCTTCCATACCTAAAGATGACCATTCAGCAAATTTTGCAAAGTGAGCTTGATCCATAGCTAGGTTTCACAGAACAGACTACACAGCTGTCACTAATTGGAGCTCACGCTGGCAGTCTTGGTGGAAAGGCCAAAGGCTGAGCAGATATGAAGGATGACCTACCTTCTTATCTTTGCTGTCTGCCCACCAGCTCTGGGTTGAGACATGGTGGGTAGGCAGCAAGGGGTAGTGTACACTGAGCTTCTGCTTGTAGCTGCTCTTTAGATGCAGAGAAATGTATTAAGTGGGGAAATTAAATGTAAATCTTATCAGATTATTATCATTAATGTCAGAGATGAGGAAACTTCTAATCACTCACTACATGTGCTTCTCGTCAAACTCAGAACAGAAAGGTCCTGAACTATGACCCCCACTTGTCTAGCGAGTTAGCCTCAAAAGTCCTTACAAATGTTAACTAACTAAACGTAGTATTATAATAGCCACCAAGCATGGGTGTCTGGTGCCCCTTGAGTCAGGGGGGCACGTGTTCCCCTGACACCAGTCAGCAACCAGGAAGGGGGCATCCCCCACGTCTGATTTCACTCGCTGTAAAAGCAGCCACGCTGCTTCCGGAAGTCCTGTGGCCACTTCTGGAAGCGGCGTGGCCGCTTTTGCTGGCAGCCCCGTTCCCTGGCTGGCGCTCATAGGGGGGCACTGGTGCTCCTGCCTGCCCCCCTGCCCACTGGCTAAACAGGAAGCGTGGCCTCACAGGGGGAGCACCAGCACTCTTAGGGGGTGCATGTGCACCCCGTGCACCCCCTACACATTGCCCCTGCCACCAAGCAGATTAGAAAGCCAACTTCCACTTGTGCCTCCTAAGCTTGAGGTTGAAGATCCAGAAAGGTTAAATGGTTTTCCAGGATCATACGGTAAGTTGGCAGCACAGCCAGGAACCCATTTCTGTGCTCTAACAATTAACTGTGCTTTTTCCCCAATCAGATATATGAATGGGTTCAAATTGGTTAGCATCTTGTTCAGACTGAGCTTGTGCCATTTGTACTTTTCTTATGAATTACTAGCCATTGTTCAAATCTGTCTGTTGGTACATGGCACTTGTTCCCATGTGATTTTTCAGCTATCATATATTGCTCTTTTTATTTGGCTATTGTTCATTTACATTGGGACTTTTGTTTTGTGCTTTGGTTTTAATAGAAGAGGAGCTGGCAACTCCACCATTAGATGGCATCATTCTTCCTGGAGTGACAAGACAGAGTATTTTGGATTTGGCACACCTGTGGGTTAGTGCTTGCCTTGTTCTTTAGTCACAGCAATTTTAATGTTCATGAAATAAATAATTGTGAAAATAAGTCACTCAAGGTGTTTAAATAATGCCTTGTGGTTTCAGCTCATCTGGGTAACTCCTTTAAACAAAATGGGAAATAAGGGAGCATGTTAGATGACTGTCTCAGCTATACTGTCAAAATACCAACATACATCCCACAGAACAATGTAAACCCTTTTTTAGAGGGGTGCACCGATAGAGATTTTGGGGGCCGATACTGATAGCCAATATTTAAGGAGGCATATTGGCTGATACTGATCCAATACAGCTGCCTCTAGGTGGTAAGTTCAGTGTGGTGGAAGGGGAGGGGGGACAGAAGGGGCGTGTGGGGGTAGATCAACGACCCCTGCAGTGCACTGTCCAAGGCGGGGGCACCCCAGTAGGGTGGGGGTGGAGGGTGTGTGCCCGTGGATCTGCGTGGTGCGGGGTGGGCGGCAGCTGCGGTGTGGAGCTGGCACTACGTGGGTCTTCTCAACACGGGCTAAGCTCGGAGCAGACTCTGGCAGTGCTGAGAGGAGGCTGCAGCCACCCCAGATTTTGCCGCAGCTCTGCTCCCAGCCCCACACCACCGCCTTGCCAGAGCCTGCTCCAAGCCCAGCCCCCGGCAAGAAGAGCCCCGTGCAGCTCCAGCTCCACCCCGCAGCTGCCGCCTGCCCCACACTGCGCAGATCCAGGGGCACAGGCCCCCCTGCCCTGCCCTCCTGAGGTGCAGGCAGCAGCAGGAACCACCCTCACCCCATGAGTCACACCTCCATCCTGTGCTCCTCTCCCCCAACCCCCCACCTGGGCAGCGCCTGCCCCCTCCCTTACTGGGGGTCATTGATCTGCCCCCCCACCCCTGTCTGTCCCCCCTCCCCTTCCAACTTACCAGCTGGAGCAGTTCTCCATGCTGCCAGCTCTGCTCTATGTTGCACTGCAGCTGCATGCAGCACAGGCATTTATCAGCCAAATTATTGGCCCCATTGGGCCGATATCCAATATAGACAATTTTCTTCATATCTGTACTGATCCATCGGTGCACCTCTACTTTTTGACATTCCCCAAAGCATTTCTACATAAGTGTTGGCTACAAATGTCCAACTCAGGATCCTTAAAATTCTGGTTTATTAGGCGGATTGAAACACTGTAATCATAAACCTTGGGGCTGGTACACACACACACACACACACACACACACACACACACACACACACACACACACACACACACACACACACACACACACACACACACACACA